TGATGTTTGGAAGGTGTCCAAGTTGCTTGGAAACATACAGTCGGATATCGCGTTCTGTCCACTCTGCAAAAACATCGTCCAAAGAGGTTGCCCTCACATGCGGAGCAGCTCTCAACGCATGTCCAATGTCTGGCAACGGGCGGGAGGTTACGAAGACACGGAAGTTATGAGGGAGCTCATCGGCTCGTGATGCAAGCACAGACAAGATGTGGCTCCGTGATCCTTCCGCGCCACTCTCGTCCAGCGCGTCGACCACCACGACCATACTTCCAATGATAGTACTCGACGCCTTCGACAACGGCTCTAATATCAGCTTCTCCCACTGCAACGTGACGTCAGATGTGGTCTTGAGGGAATGGTCCTTGGCAACTGCATCGGCCAGAGCCCGCCGGAATGCGGGATCGCGGTCTGCCAGATCGCGTGCAATGGTGGTAAATATCTTTTCCTCGCGACGCTCGGCTTGCCTATCACGGGCGAAGCAAAAGCACGACCCGAACCCTCCAGTATCTTTGAGCCACAGGGAGATGGTATGCGCGATGGCAGACTTCCCTCTCCCGGCCTGCCCATGCAGCCAGAAAATACGCGGAGTACCTTCATCAGTGTTATGGATCCAGTTAACGATCTCCGTGAGAATCTCAGTTCTGGTGCCGTCCAAACATCTCTTCGTCTTATTGACACTCGCACCACCCGCATAAGCCATGCCTTCTAGGCTCAGATCCTCAAGTATGTGGTGCACGTTGGTGTGAATATCCCGGACCGCAAGGTCGCGATACTGTTGCATCAAGTCGTTCAGCAACTTGACGTAACCATCAGTCGTGGTCTGCGTCTCCGACATTATGTTCTTTCCTAGTCTCCTCCCTGAGAAGAATTTGAGTCAGATTTGCGATAAAAGGTGTAACCAACGTACAGAAATTTTTCGTCTCCGAGTAATTCTTGATGAATCGGGCCGCATCGCTAATCACCTGTGCAATCTTCCCCAAAGTTTCCTTCATACTATCGATGTTCCGAATGGTATCGTCCTCCAGAAGGAATCCATAGACGGTTCTGACTGTATCAAGGAGGCCGAATACCTCCCTGTCCAGGTTAGCTTGATTGAGAAGCGACTACAGAGGAATGTGTGAGGTGCGCAGCGCATACAACCGGGGCGTGAACACGTACCTGAGAAGTAGCGGTTAAGATTCCCAGCGCAATCTGGGCATAGGGGTGAACCTGCAGCCTTACATCAGAGTATGTGAGTATATGTAGGGCAATGAGCGTACATTGGCGATACTAGTAACGACGGAGTTAAATGTTTTGAGAGGCTGGAGATACGTGTTGCTGAGGTTTTGGATGCTGGCGGCCGCAGTATCAGCCTGTGCAACAAGCTCGATGGCTAATTGGCCAGTGCCTGGTATGGGCGCCATACGATCCAGGGCCTGTTGAGCAGCGTCGACTTCACTGCCTACCAATGCCGAGGCCGGACTGAGCGTGGTACTGGCGGGGTCAACAGCACCATCGCCGGTGTCGCCGGATGGCCCGACTACAGTATTGACATCATGCGCAGCCGGCACGGGCACTGTTTCTGAGTCGTGGGCTGGCCTTTGCATCTGTCCAACACGATTGTTACTCAGGGCCATCGCAACAATGGGATGAGGTAGATCACACACATCCTGAGTTGGGGTCGCCTGGGTTTGTTCTCTTTGCTGCTGAGCACCCCCACTGGCGCCTGTGTCAGCAGTCTGTGCTGCGATGGAGCCTTGGTTCGACCGACGGAAGATGTGCCTCAAACTTGCGAGCGGTGTCGGCGTTCCAACATTCGGGGCTACACCACCTTGTGGCTGTTTCTTGGTGAATCAGTGACTACAATCGCCTGCAGGCAAATGAACTCCTTACGGAAACAGGGTTGGATGGAGAGCCAGACGGCTTTCTGCATCTAAAAATTCGGCGAGCCATTGAGAAACCAGTATGTGTTTCGTTCAAACTTTTCTGGATGAGGTCGACGTTGAAAATGGAGTTGCAATAAGCGCGCGGAAATGCTGTAGACACGTTGCAAGCTACTGTGTCATTATTGACACAAGGACCGGCAGCAGGACAGCCAACTCTAGCACTCACGCACTCGGCTCTGGAGCAGGGATGATGTAGATTATCGAACTAATAGGGGACTCAACAACAAGTGATGTGGATTTCAGTATTGTAACACTTCTCCCCCTGGGTGCTCGGATCCATCTTATCAGACCGAGATATTTGGTCACCGTCATCTTTGCAGCGCACGCAATCTCGCTGGGATTCAGTTGCATCGTATGTCTTCTTTTATTATCCGAGTGTGCTACTAATAATATGTAGATATCAGAAAGGTGGGCGAAATCGCTATTGGGCATGAAGAAGCTCGAAGCTGTTAAGCTCGGAACATCCGAGCGTATTCAGGACGCACACACAGTGAATTGTTTGAGTTGAAATGAACAATACTGAATATGCTTATCGACGTCATAGTTGGCTGCCATTCATTGCCTGATAGTTCGAGACTGATTGAGACAAAACCTGCCGTCACAGTACTCATACACGACAGCATTCCGGGGCAAGAACGGTCCTTGTACTACACATCTAAAGTACACGGCTCGAAGTAAATACGTGTACAGGGGGTATCCAAGAATTACAACAGTAGTTGTTGTTACACGCTCATCTTCATCGGTATCACTTCATGTGACTGGTAACCTTCAACGACGAAATCACTCTCCGCCTCCTTAGCACTATACTTCAACTGTTCGAGGTCTCGTAAGCTCTCCAACTCCTTCTTGAACCGCAGTTTCGGGAAGGGCTTAGGATGACGCTCCACCTGCTTCTCGAGCGCTTCCACGTGGTTCTTGTACACGTGCGCATCGCCAAGCTGGATGATCAGTTCGTGGGCTTCGGTATTGGTGACTTGTGCGACTAGGTGTGTGAGCAGAGCATAGGATGCGATATTGAAGGGTATGCCCAGTCCGAGGTCGGCAGAACGCTGGTACATAAGACAAGACAAGCGATTTTTTGAGGAGGCGTTGGGGGTGATATGGACGTAGAATTGGCACATCATATGGCAGGGAGGCAACGCCATCAGTGGTATAGCTTTCAAAGAGAGTCTGAGTCTGAGCGGGATTTAGAAGGCACCGTCCATAATTACCAGCTGGATTCCAAGCGCTGAGAATGATGCGGCGGTCCGTGGGTGTCTCCACGATCTTCCTTATGCACTCCTGCAGTTGATCTACCCCTTGTCCCGCATAATCTGTCTTGCAGTCTACATACTCCGCCCCAAAGTGTCTCCATTGGAATCCATAGACCGGACCCAGATCACCCTCCTCTCGATGACCAAGACCACGCTTCTCGAGGAACTCCTTCGAACCATTCCCGTTCCATATCTTGACGCCCTTGGCGTCGAGAACTTTCGCATCCGTGTCCCCACGTATGAACCATAGCAGCTCCTCAGCAATACCCTTCACAAATATTTTCTTAGTGGTAAGAAGTGGAAATGTCCCGTCTCTGAGGGAGAAGCGCAGCGAAGGTGGAGCAAAGATGGACAGTGTGCCAGTACCGGTCCTGTCGTCTCGACACTCCCCATTCTCGATGACGCGTCGAACGAGATTCAGGTATTGGTATTCTTCGTGGTCGCCATCTGCACACGCGGTGGTCATGGTAGTGATTGAAGGGCCAAACGATTTAAAACGCGTCGATACGCGCTGGTGATGGAGTGACAGGCTGGCACGTGACCTTCGTCACGTCGGTGAACCTGTCTTCTCCCTTTTCAGGGTGCACTGTTATCTGAAGCGTCTGGAATGTTGATGCTTCTAGTAAATTCATGCGGCTCTATACCAAGGTGCCATAGAACCTGCACTCATCTGGGAAACAGCTACGCGACGCGGCTGTTAACAGCTCTTCCGCACTTGAGCGAGCTCTCTCATTGGCCAACAAGTGTCTTAGCGAGTCTTACGACAAGTCACTTCCAAACGGAGGCAGGTATAACCTGCTCACTCCCTCGGGTAGTTTTGCAGATGCTCCTTGACTCAGTGGCACATTAAAACTTCGGAGGTCGGCCCGTTAGACCAGGAACAGCTTCGCAGTCTGTCCTCGTACCCTGGCAAGGCTAACACTAGTTCAAAGTGAAGGATTATACTCCACGCCCACACCCACAAAGTTGCAGGTATCGCTCGCAGGTTTGAGTACAAGTCTCGATGTGGACAAGTCGTTGCGTACGTTACTGGTGCGGATGATAAGCAGCTTCACGGGCACTTTATCGTACGATATTGTATGGATGGTAGGCCCTGTGAAGGGGTACATCCGTGGGTCACGAAACGAAACAAAGCAACTACACACTCCGCGACCGGCTCACCTAGGCTCGTTCCCAATATGGATGTGAAAAGGTGCAACTGTACGTTCAACTGTCGGTCGTGGATTTGGTAGCAAAACTAAATTTGGAGCCGAGAGAGAAATTTCTGGAGGTGAGTACCGGAACCGGAAGACCCCAGTGTTTGCAAAACGACTGCAGTGGTTACTTCCTGGTCTATATTGTATTCGCCCCGAGCCGATCAGTACAAAGAGAGCATGTCGTCTTGGTTTGCAGAATCTAGTGGAGTTGGCCGCAGTACGAGAGCAGGTTGAGACGTTGAGGATCATAGGTGATTTCCAATGTGACTTTATTCTCTCACACGCCGCGCTCAAAGATCCCTGCCGAGGCCCGAGGAAGAAACGCTGAATAAATTTTGCGCACCACTCGTATGCAAGGGTCGTTATCTTGTAGTAGCAATGCAATCGTGAAGGGGGAGTCTCCGAGTGCCATTGTAGAGAAGTCCACGATGTGCATATAGCACGAGCTATCGCCTGTGATCTAATAGGCACCATTACTGGATCGTAAGTAGGAAGAATTGACTTTTGATTTTACGGTTCAGCATTCAATACTCCCTCACTTTTCAACGGAAGAGGTGGCATCGTCATCCGGAACACACTCTGTCCGCTACCATCCCCAGAGTCGGCTTTACCGTAAATCTTCCCTGGGAAAGATGTCACGGGTCGCCACGACACTCAAGCTATTCCAGCCCCAGGTTCGATCCAGCCGAGTAAAATTTCACTGTACTTCACAGGTATGGTCCGAAAGAGAACATATATTCCCCAGCCAACGAGCGAGTATACCCACGCGCACGCATCATTACACCTTCCCCCTCCAAGTTTTCCACAACCACAACGTCGCAACGAACGCGAGCGCCGCAGCAACCCCACTCACCTCAAACGTTGCGTGCCAACACCGTACGCCCATGCACACGCCCCCGTCGGCCGGGGTATGTTCCACAGCGACGAACGCATACAGGTAAGAGAAGACAGATGTACCGAGGAAGGGAGCGTAAATGAGGATGCCGTAGTTGCGTCCGAGATTGTGGATACCCCATATGGAAGAGACCAGAGAGGGTCTGTGAAAAGCGAAGTGATATCAAGTAGAAGCCCCTGGAGGGAAGGGAAGTGATGGACGTACAGAATGGTGAAGGCGCAACCATATGCGATGCCTGCTCCGATACTGCAAGGTATTAGGTTTTTGTATGCAAGACCAGTATATGAAGAAGGTCGATATCTCACCTCAGTGCCCACAGGGCAGCTTGGGAACGGATACCGACGACCGTCCACAAGCATGTACATACGAGGACGGACGACGAGAAGGCAAGGAATACGAGACGGCTAACGAAGTGCTTCCTGAGTGTACCTCGCGAGCTGGGTTGCGGATGCGATGGGACAGGAGAAACGAAGTCTGCAAGAGGTCCTACGACAAAACGAGAAACCGTATTCGCGATGGATATAGATCTGACTTGCGTAGAGGTGGCAAGGTCGCCAGAGGGTATGCCATCGAGGGCTGTTGTCGGAAAGTATCGTGAAGGCAAGGAGAGCACTATTGTGCCGATGTTGGAAATGACCATCTCACACTGCATGGGAGAAAAAGTGAGGTGGAGAATTATGATGCGTGTTGCGTGTGTGGACATACCGAACCAAGGATGACAAATACTATGAAGGCGAGTATCCAAAAGTTGAAATCCTTGAGCATATCAAGGGCAGACTGTGATCGGAGGTCTTCATCCGTAGCAGGCGTTACATCGAATGATGCGGCGGAGCTCGTCTTGGGTAGCAACGAAGTGCACTCGTCTGCCAATTCGGCTGGATCCTCGGTATCGGTATCGAACGGTTTTGATAGACATTCTTCCACTGGAGGTTGAACATGCATTGTAAACGCGCCGACTAGGTGGACGAATCCGGAAAGGAGTGCGAGAAATCGCAAGAACTGAGTGACGTCGAGGCCGGTATCAGGACGAGAGAAATAACGGGTGGCGAGGATAGACAGAAACGTGGGCGATAGTCCAAATAGAGCGGCACTCGTCCCAGTAGCCAATCCGATATAGTGAGGGAAATTCTTGGAGGCAGTAACCACGGCCGATAAGAATCTTTGTCGGTCGTCAGCAATATCTTGTCATGACGGGAAAAGAAACGATACCCACGAGCATACGGTACCTGCGGCGCAGATAAGGAAATAGAAGGCGAGTCTGCGGTACGATGAATCACTGGACGTGACGATATCATATCAACTGGTGTCAAGGCTATCTCCCGAGCGAAGAGCCCGAACCAGTCGAGAACAGGACAGCAGAGGCGAGGGAACATATCCACGGGCCATAATAGTCGATGGCCTTGCCAGCGAATGCCGCGAACAGGTACTGACCCGCCATTCCGCTGTATGCATAAAACTGAGCAAGACGGAAGGAGAGTGACAATGAATGAACATCAATTACGCGAGGGCTACCGTGGTCAGCTGTGGTTGTGTCAGTTTGAGTTGGGTGACGAGTGTGGGGGCTATGAGCGGGAAGCAGATTATCCCTCCAGCGCATAGACTGCCCATGATATATCGTATTCCGCGTCATGAGCGTCATCGCGAGCACGGCTGAGTCGTGCACGACTCACGTATTTGCGGCAATGGAGACACAAGCCAGTGCCAGCTTGACACGGCGCAGGTGGGGCGAGCCATTGGGGCATTGTTTCGTGGGGGACGACATGGAAGTGCTGGATCCCGGGTCTCTTCGAAGACGGTGCTTATGTTCTGCATGCGGGTGACATGCGGAGAGAAGTGGCGCTCAGTTGTGGCTCACCCGGGGTAATCAATACCCGGTATCGATTGTGGTACTACAAAAGCGGTACACTTCTAAGATTTTACTAATGAATTACTCTCTAAGGTGGTATTCCCGTACTCTATGCATGTAATGGAAGCCTTATCAACAAGGGCAGCGCCTCCTCTTGGAGTGTGCCATCCTTGGAGCATTGGCCTCTTGTAGAAGGTCTGGCCCCGAGGGTACGGATATTCCCAACGGTATCCAGGAACCCGCTTTGCGGCGGGTGCATTATTTCACATCCTCAAGAACACCTGAAGGTTTCTTTCACGGCTTTAACAAGCTGGCTGTTGGGCCAAGAGTCAAACCGTGGGTCAACGAGGCGCTTAAGGCTGGTCATTTCGGGACAGCCGTACCGGGTAGTCGGTGAGGTCGCATGTTGCTTATCCAGTCGATCTCGTGCATGCGGTCTGCATGTGGAATATTGATGCGGTGGGTCTTCAAGCACTTTGACACGAACAGTGGCGTCGAACGCAAAAGGCTTACATAACCTGCACGTAGGGGTTTTGCCAGGACTCTCCCCTAACTAACTAGCTGTTGTGTAGTCGAAACCCAACTCGCAATCAAGCGTCTTCTGCAAACTTTGTCTCTCTGGTCCCTCCTCTTCATACTTTCGAGGGTAACTTTATTCTTACCGCTAGATTGCATACTCGAATCCGGTAACCATTCTTCATGCAATAATTTGATTGTATATTTACTTGTGGATCCTTCCCCTCCAGGCAAGAACCGAAACACATAACGCTCCACGTGCCATTCCGAAGAAGCTGTTGTCCTGCGATGGACGAAATTGCTCAGGCACGTGCTGAACTGGCACGACTGGAAAGCGCAGTGAGGAGTCGTCTTGACGAGATGTTGGCTGCCCGCAAAGCCGTTGAAGTGCAGAGAGCTCAGATCAAAGAGTTTAACAGCCAACGGCCCTCAACAATTCACCGTCTTTCTGACGAGCTCCTCGTGCAGATATTTGGTTTTGCGATGGTTTGTCGCGAAAATAGGATGTTCACTGATCATGTCAGGCTCGATCAATGGCGGAGAAGCCTGGCTAGCGTCTCGCGACATTGGAGAGAGGTGATCCTGATCACACCAATTCTCTGGCGCGATATCTACCTGACATCACGACAAGACCAATGTGCGTTGGAGTCGCAGCTGAAGAGGAGTCAAGGAGTACTTCTTGACGTCACGATTAGAACAGATATGGCGAATTACTCTACTATTGTTCCGTTACTGCGGCATCTTTGTCCAACCACAAACCGCTGGCGTAGCCTGCACATCTATAACGGCCCCTCCAACATTCTAAATTTTAGCGCCATCCTTCACGAGTTGAGCAAGCTGGAATTCCCTGCCCTTGCAGACATTTACATCCAGATGTATCACCCGAAATCGATCTACCTTGTCTTGCAATGTCCTTTACCAAGTGCACCTGCTCTCAAGCACCTGACACTCCAAAGTTTTGTCCCAGCTAGCCCACTCGAGACTCCCGAGCTGGAATTTGAACATTTCGATATACTTCCGTTGTTACTCTTTCGGACTTCCAGCGCCTCGTTAATTACGCTCTCCCTCGCTGGCTGTGCTGATGTCCGGATGCTTGGGCGGAACACCATCCACTTCCCGCTTCTTGAGGAACTCACGCTCAACAACCTGTGTACTGCACCGTTTTTGGAAGCCATCATAGCACCTAAGCTTGAACACTTTCGCCTCATGGATCACAAATGTCAGTGGGAAGCGTTCAGTCTGTTTGGGTCGAAATTCAGCAAGGTCTACCATCTTGATCTTACGATCAATGGGAAATCAATTTCAGCAGACGTTCTCAATGGCATCGCTTTCTGTCAGGCATTTCGTAACACACGCCATGCAGAGTTCTCGAGCATCAAAGACCTCCATCCTCTCGTCACACCTATCTCATCGCCCGGAAAGTTTGCGGGGTCACAAATTCCAGCAAACAGCTGGGCAAGCCTCGAATCATTGCGGATATTCATACCAAAGGACTTTCGAAACCACATTGAAAAATTTGATCAGCTCACGCAATGGCTGGAAATGCGACAGGAGTCTGGCTTGCCAAAGTTGCACGTCAAGTTCACAGGCAATCCAAACGTCCCGCTGAATCCCACAGATTTATCCCTCCTTTTTAGCAAGGTACAAAACCGCTGCATTCTGGAATACTGCTTACCGCTGTCTCTCCGTCCAATTGATTCCATGAGGAGCAGGCGGGGTGAAGAACTCCTCAGAATTTGGTAAATTGGTCACTCTGCTTCGCGAATCATTGTGTTAAGAGTAAATTTTTCGATATATTTTGCTCGCAGTATGTAGACCCTACCTTTGTATGTTGCAGATAATGTGGAATTTTGTAGTGGTGGCGAATGTTGAGCTATCGTTGACTCGGACTCGTTCGCACATACACATATGTACTCTTCATGTATCGCATATGTGGAAGGGGGGAGGCAGCTTAGAAACGTTGCAATCTCCCTAGTTTCTGCAACAACTGCCGCACTGTTCTATAATGGAGACTTTGGACTTTGATATGGCAATTATTTTCAGTGCGCGATATGGTGTGTGTTTGGGCTGGGAAGTATTCCGGTCATTCGCCGCTTCGAAGCTCACGATACAGGCTCCGAAAAGGCGATGTTTCTTTCAAGTTCGAAGACCAAAGGTTGATTTCTAGATTGAAAGCACTGAAGAAAATTTCCACTGTTAAATGGAAATGGTCTCCCCGTATTTGCGCAGTGACAAGTTTTCAGGTGGTGCCTTCGTATACGTCTAGTCGCAGGCCCCTTGAGTCCTTACGGGACAAGGGCCACCGGATCCACTGGAGTGCTACGAGGAGTGGTTTCCTTTAGGTGCGATTTCGCAGTTCGAAGGACACAGGCGAGCACCTGCGAAAGTCGAAGCGGAGAATGACAACGTTCACCACAACATCGCTAATCGCAAATAAGAACTCGAGGACTGACAACTTCAAAAAATGTGCAGAGCTGGTCACTGGAACAGTATGTGGACTCGACGTGCGAGTACTGGTTCATTCTCGTCACACCGCCATTATTTACACAAACTGCTGTAAATCATACATCTGGTAACGCAGTACTTTAGGGTTCAAATACATAGATCTGCTAAAAGGAGAAGAATGAACTGCTGTCACTAGGAGACTCTAATACTCAGCGGAAGACCTCATTTAGTAGTATGACTCGATCGCTTCCAACCCCCTTTTCTACTGGTTTAAAACAGCCCAACTTACGCCACCAACCATCACACATTGTCCGTCTCCGGGCCCTCCCACTCCTACTGTCGGTAGTAAGTGAAACAAGTTCTTAACACCTTTGACTGTCATACACAGGTAGGTTGGATGCCCGGTTCCCCCTGGTGATCGTTCTTCATGAGCTGATTCTCACTGAAGGATCCTTCTCCTCCAAGGGAGAAGCAGAACGCGGAAGGTCTCACCACTGTTAAACTCCCCATTCCACTTTCCTGTCTGAAGAACTAGAAACCACAGCGACGGCACCGTCAGCCCACTATGGGTGAACTCAATCGGCATGCTGAGCTAGCACGACTGGAAAGCATAGAGCAGAGTTGTATAGGCCGTTTCTTTGTTGCCCTTGGAGCCATGGACACCCAGAGAATGCAGCTTGAAGAGCTTATCAAGAAGCGGGACCCTGGCCCCGCCATTCACCGTCTTCCTGTTGAGCTTCTTGTGCTGATATTCCGCTTCACAATTGTTTGTCCATATTATGCGGGGACATATAAACTTGACATTGAAATTGGTTATCGGAGGAGAAGTCTGGCTATTGTCTCGCGACGTTGGAGAGATGTGATCCTGGATACTCCTATTCTCTGGCAGGACATCTGTCTGGCATCACCACAAGATCGACACACACTGGTGTTGCAGTTGAAGAGGAGTCAAGGTTTGCTTCTCGACGTCACGATCACAAATAAATTGGCAGATTACTCCACTACTGATGAGTTGCTGCACCATCTCCGTCCAACCACGAACCGCTGGCGTAGCCTCCACATCTGTGACAGTGACAGCTATCCAAGTACAAATTCCATCATTCACGAGTTGAGCAAGTTGGAATTTCCTTCCCTTGTAGACATTCACGCCGAAATGTATCCTCTCGACTTGGAGTATCTTGGTCTGCAGAATCTCTTACCACGTGCATCTGCTCTCAAGCATCTAAAGTTCGAAGAACTTTCCCCAGCCGATGATTTTTTGATAGCTAACCCACTCGAAACTCTGGAACTGACGTTTGCATCGGATGATATGCCTCAGTGGATCCTGTCGCGGATCCCCAACTTCTCATTAATCACGCTCTGCCTTCAAGGTGATGCTTACGACTGGGTGCTCGAGCCAAACAGTATCCACTTCCCACTTCTTGAGAAACTTGCGCTGGACATTCCGGATCCCGACCAATTTTTGGAAGCCATCTCAGCACCGAAACTTCAGCGCCTTGAGCTCACGGCTTACGGGTGCCAGTGGGAAGCCTTCAGTCGGTCCAGGTCGAAATTCAGCACTGTCTACCATCTTATTCTTGATTTTGGGGGATCGATTCCAGTTGACCCTCTAGCTCTCTGTTGGGTATTTCCTAACACTCACCATGCAGAGTTCATATACATGGCAGACCTCCTTTCCCTCATTGTGCCTATGTCATCCCCCGGAAATCCCTCAGGGTCACAAACTCCAGCAGACAACTGGGCGAGCCTTGAAACATTGTCGGTACTCAATTCAGCCTGGGACTTAAACCACATGGAAGAATTTAATCTACTTGTGCAATGGCTACAAATACGACACGGGCTTGGTTTCCCCAAGTTGCATATCAAGTTCAAAGGCAACTCTCAGAATCCAGAAGATTTATCTACCATTTGCAGGAAATTACAAGACTGCTGCATTCTGGAACATTGCCTATCATTGTCCTTCGGCCAATATTACACCATGGCGGGTAAACGAAGTGAAGAAGTCTTCAGAATTTGGTAAATTATCACTCTGCTTCGTGAATCATTTTTCTCATGTTAAGAGTAAACCTTCAACAGATTTTGCCTACAATTGACCCTAGTCCTGTAAGCCGTCAATGGTATCTCCTACTACCAAGTAATGTGGAGTTTTGCAAGGGTGGCAAATGGCTTTTTTTTCGCTTGGGCTATCACTGATGACTCGCTCGCACGTACAAATGGGTACCCTCCCCCACACCCTAGAAGAATGTAATTCCAACGTTATAGGATTAGTACTATCAAAATTGATGCGTGTAGGTCAGTGCAGTCGTTGGTCACCAAGCAGTCTGGATGTTTTCGTTGGGTGTAGAGTCGGTTTATGTCCACGAGACAAAGCCTCATAAATACCAGTTGCGGCAGCAGAAGACGATTCGCCAGTGAAACGTTTCAAAGTCGTGAATCTACTCAAAGTAGGGACAGGTGTAAGTCCGTTGTTTCCACAAAACATGTACCGCAGGTTGTAAATCCCCAAATACAAGCAAGGGTTATACCGCCCTGGACCGAGTTTCTTGCTAATATCCTACCTGTTCTGACAACACATCTCCACTAAAACCAAGTGTATGCCGACCGAGCGAAAAGGCAGAATAGAGGCGGTCACTCAATAAACCAACTCCGCAGAGCGGCGGAGGTGGATCTGGAGGAAACATGATGAGTGTCCTAGGACAGCCGCCATTGAAAGAGCGACAGGAAAAGAAGAAAAGAGATGATACAACTTATCTTCGTACTTCTCATGGAACTGCGGCAAGTGCGGGAGGTATGTATTCTAGTGCTGATCGAGTGTAATCGACGAGACACCCCTTCCGAACAGAAAATGGCAGGCAAGACCGTTCTGCCCGACCCCTCCGTGATGCAGGATATTAGGCCAACAACGCACCTCGCTGTAGATCTTTATGAGTGCTTTGACTTGCACTTTTTTTCCCACGTTCTGCTATTATGGAACATGGTCACACACCAAGGTACGTAGGAGTCGTCGGCTCGGACAGCGTGCCACAGGGGTTCAACTTATGCACTTGAAGAACACTTTGTGCGATATGCTGTCTGTGTATTAGCCTACCAGAGAACAGTGCTGCAAATCGTTTACCGGAGCCAATACAGTCTCTGGCACACTTCCTCCTCTCTATCTCGTGCTGTTGAGTAATGGTAAGCAGGATACCTATGGATCTCGAGAAACTGATATGAGTACAGTCCTCAGAACTGATGGCTTTATCTACCCACTGAGGACCTGTCCAAGTTTCCATGCTACAGAACGACGAATAGGTGAATGGGTGTGACATCCATCCCCGGCAATGAACACGGTACCAGAGTGTGAGAACAGAGGGACGAGTGTATGATGTAGCAGCAGGCCTTCACGAGGAAGCCAATTGAAACCTGTTCCTCAGGCGTCTGAGGTCTGAAATAAGCAGTGCAAATATTCACTTGTACATTCCTGGACGCTGTCAGGTCAGGTCTGCAAACTCATTGTGACGACCGATCATATAAGTATAGTTCACATGTCGAAATTACTGATAGGTACAGCTACTCAACCGTGGCGGCCGACATGTTGCCGACCATCATTTAAATGGACAAACCGGATGTGCTTTGACAAGCTCACCGGCAGAACCTCAGTCGTGCACTCGGGCTATCGACATATTACCACCCCCTTCGGTCCAACGTACTCCTTAACTCTGTGGAAATGGCGGAAATGCTCAGGGACATCGTCACATCTTATTGGCTGCAAATAGCCCCCACTATTATGCCGCCACCATTGACAATCTTGCATCGGACAGTTACTGAATTGACGCCGGCGGGGGGATTTCTTGGATTTCGGGAGTGCCTCAGTAGCAGTATGGAGAAGTGGGTGCTGTGTGAAATTTGGTGTGCAAGCGTGTCGGCTTCGAAAGGGTGTTAACATTGTCGGACTATATGCAGTGCACAGGACACAGTACATGCAATGTGCAGGACACATACCGCATTGGGACCACTCTGCTGCAAATTGATGCCATCATAGGATCCCGGGAGTGCATCCCGCCCTACCAACTTTGAAAGACATTAACATTTGCTAGCACACGCAATGTACAGGACACATACCTCACGTCTCGCTGCAGGCCCGAAGACCTCCGTGTCTGCAAAACCGCTAGGACCACTCTGCTACAAAAAACTGTTATGAAATCTCGGGAGCACATCCCCCCTTGTCGACTTTGAAAGATGTTAATGTTTGCCGGTGCATGCGGTGTACAGGACACATACCACATTGGGACCACTCTGCTGCAAATTGACGCGATCATAGGGTCCTGTGAACGTATCCTGCTCTGTCAACGTTGACGGTGCTTGCGGCGCGATAGCCTCGTCAGGTAGATTTGACGTGCCCGATTGCGAGATAGAAGAGTGACCTGCATCCTCCAGGAACGTTGTGAAGAGACGGCTCAGATGGTCGTCGGCCAACGGAACCGAGTCCTCGGCAGCGGTACGGAACAATGTGGAGGCATCAGAGTTCCCTCCACCTGATAAGTCTGCGGCAGTATCGGTAGACAATCCAAAGAAGTCCGTTTCAAACGAGTCGAAATCTGGTATCCGCGATCGATCGACTTCTACGTCGTCTGCTTGGAAGGGCGAGCAAGAAAGAACCACAGCCACAGCGGGCTAGAGTGGAGTGTGTTAAGTGGGCGACCTATGACAAAGAAGACGAATACCTTGTCTCCGGCTGCATCACATTCATTATCGACCTTATGCACCATTTGGGCCTCCGGCAACATTCCTATACATGTCTGCAGAGGATCGGCACGCATATCACAAGGTAGTATGAGGACTCCTACCTCATACGTTGCCGCTAGCGTGGAAGGTGCGCTCTGTGTTTCTTGTGGTTGGGGTATCTCGAAAGGCTAGCCGAATGATAAGTGAAATGGCACCGGTTGATACGGCGGATACGAATGGCGACGAGGGTGGTCGTATACATGAGAGTAAGCTGGGCAGTACGTAGGAGGCCACGGACGAACTGGGTCTCCGGGCGGGAACGCGGGGATAGGGTTGTGGTGGCTGAGAGTCGTGGTACGCCCAGTCCTGTTCGAAGTCCCGAGTGACCGAAGACATCGAGGAAAGAACCAGTGAAATGAGGATCGACTGCCAGGGTCGGGGGAGGATGGCGAGTTCTGGCTGCGTGTCCGGTAGAAATAACGTGCGATGGAAAGAAGAATTACGGCGAGAACGACGAGGCAGACGATTGCCAACACGTTGAGTGGAGCATCTGGGCGGCCCTGTGAACGCTTGACATGACGAAGAATAGCCGAGCGAGCGTTGAATGGGGATCTGGCTGGGGGAACAGGCATTAGGGTAGGGGACATTGTGAGCGAAGAAGGAAACTGGGCGGACGGCGGAAGATAGGGGGATACCTTTATATATGTACCGTCCCTGTCAGCCTCCAGGGTCAGCGCCGTCAGCCATGCGTGCGAGCTTGCGGGGGCAATAACACATTCCGACACAGGCTTTCATGCTAAGGGACTGCACCCTCAGCTTCTAAGATACACGCGCAGGGAGGAAAAGATACTTGGACTGATCTTGGGTATCCATACGACATACGGTGACAATTAGCTTCATGTCGCGAAAGAACTGGCTAAACGTACCTGGAAGCGGGCCGCGGCCCGACGGCGACACAGTCGTCGGTGAGGAAATAGGGACCGGCCAGCATTACTTCCCAGCTGTCCGGCTTGGGTATTTTATGTACAGCAGGCGCACTAATCCAGCTTGGAGTCATTCGACACAGCTTCATTAGAGCTAGTTCGGAAACCTCGGGTAAGTCGCAATTAGTTCCTTCAATGCTTGTACATGTTTTTCCACCGGGGCAGTTCACATAGTGAGTTTGAATTGAGTTTGAAACATTTCCTCCTGTACACGAGATGGATGACATCAATATTGGTGGTGTCCATGAGGAGATTCACTGCCAATGCTTGCTGCACCATATCACTCTTGTCATCAATATCCATCCTCTGCATGATCAGTCATACTGAAGCACAATCTATGCCAATCCAAAGGATTCCAGAGCCTTACAACACATCAGCACTAACTGGTGAGGAATGGCTTATTGAGCTCCTTGCAGGTCATCCAGAATGAATCCAATGTGAACTTGGTGTTCACACTGATGTCTTTGCATGACTTGTGGAGGAGCTTTGCCAGATCAGTCATGGCAACTCTTGATTCATTTCACTTGAAGAACAACTAGCTATTTTCCTCTATATGAGTGTGATGGGTCTGACTATCAGGCATGTTGGTGAACATTTTCAACAGTCAAATGAGACCATATCTTGGTATGTCATCACCCTTAGTTTTCCGATACTTTTCTAACCTCCTTGATTGGGTACTTTTGCAAGATACTCTTCATCCTATCATCATCACCCTTCTATTCCACATACATCAAGATGCCTAGTGCCAATGATATTCAGCCAAAGATTAGGGGAGATAAAATATTTTGGCCATATTTCAAGGATGTGATTGGTGTGTTGGATGGGAGCCATATCCATGCCACTCTGGCATCAGAGGACTGGGTGGTGTACTGAAACCACAAAGGTGCCATATCACAGAACTGCTTTTTTGCTTGTGATTTCCAGCTGATGTTTACATACTCATTGACTGGTTGGGAGGGTTTGGCTACTGATGTGCATGTATACCAGGATGCACATATGAAAGGGCTTGATATCCCAACAGGAAAGTTTCTCCTTGTGGATGCTGGATTCCCCCTGCACCCAGAAATTCTAGTCCCATACTGGGCAACTTGCTACCACCTTGCAGAGTGGCACCAAGTGGATATAAGGTAATTTTCTTTGAATTATCTGTCTTATTGTCCTGCTGAACTGACAAGACCCAGGAATGAAGAAGAGTTGTTCAACCTCTGGCACTCATCTGCATGCAACATCATCAAGCAAATATTTGGTGTCCTCAAGTGTTGTTTTTGCATCTTACTACTAAGCCCTGAGTACAACATTGGTGTCCAAGGTCATATCCCCTCAGCACTCTGTGCACTGCACAACTTCATCCATACTTATGATGCTGAAGAAGGTCCAATGCCAGGACAGGATGTCCATGTAGATGAGTGAGGTGTGGGAGGGCCTGGGGGATTGGTGGATGAGGGCAGAGCCAACAAAGATAATCCCAATGTAGGTCAGCTTGAAGCAGCACACACTTTCTGTGACCAGATCACTCAACACATGTGGGATGATTATCAGGAAATCATTTGATTGTGGGATCTCAGGCAATTGCCCTCAGGTAGTGACAACTATAGCTCTGATGACTCCACTAACACTGGTAGCAGTATGAGCGATATATCAATGTTGTAGACATGTAGTTCATTTGTTCCCATTCCATGCAATATACATACACTTTCAGATCTCTCATGTGTGATGAAGAAAAAAAAGATAGATTGTGATAAAGAAAAAAAAAGATTGCAATACAATGATAGCAGGTATGGAGGTACAGCAAACATCAATCTACCTATAGTATTTTTTACTGTGTACCAGTCTGAGAACTACCAACCCTGAGTTTCATCCAATACTCCAGTTGAGCAAGTGCCAAATGATCTTCCTTCTTTGCTGTCCTCAAGTATACATCAGCGAAGCTGAGATTCTGTGTGATCAACAATCAGACAAATGCTGTGAGTCTGAGTGTGGTTCAATGGTGAAAACCAACCAAAACCAACACAAAAGACAAAAGGAGCAAGTGGTGGTGTGCCTATGTGGTACCTAGATGGTAGAACCTGTTCTTTTGGAGGGTTTTTGCGAGCTACAACACTCAAAGATGAGTGCTGAGGGTTGGGGGTGCTCCTGATGAAGAAGAAGCAGGAATGTGAGAGAATGCAATAGGGTAGACTGCTGTCAGCCTACAGAAGGATGGATGATGGCTTAATTTGATGTCCTAAGCTGCACTGAGCTCAGGGAGGGCTTGGAGTGAAGTAGATGATAGTTAGACCCTTAATAAAGTCTCAACTATCAAAGCTGCTGAATGAATTACTGAGTGATGATAAAATGTGAGCAAGAGGGGCTCTCTGATGTCTTTTTTTTTTTGCTATCTAAGTACAGTGATTTATATACAGTTCAGGGGTGTTGCCCTTGGAAAACAAGGTGCAAACACTTGGCAAGTGATTGGTAACTGATGAGTAAGGAATGTAAGTGATGGGTAATCGTCTTGGAAAGCATTGGTAAGCATTGGTAAGGATAAGTAAGCCAAAAAGCAAAGAATCAGTAAGCAAAGTCAAAAGATTGGTAAGTAATTGGCAATAGGTGAGTCAAAGACAGTCAGAATGTCAAAGTATGAGTCAAGTAATGTCAGGAACTGGGAAAGTGCACTGGAATTGCATTAGGGGGAGGCTGTGCATGTCACATCTCAAAGAGATCGCTTCTAGGCCAAGGTGGGATGACAGAGAGGCAGTGCTGATCTGATGCTGATATAGTACATCCAAAAGTGGACAGGGTGAGTCAGATGTCAACAGGGGTCAAGCTTTGGGGGTCTGTGGGGTGACAGGAGCATAGGGGATTGCAACTTTCCCCCCCAAACCATCCTCTCAGGGAAGCAAATAAAAACTTCATGAATGAGGCTCTGTTGGAAGAGAGGATGAAGGGGGAGTGTCTTCTGCTGTATCTTGCAACAAGGAGGCAAGATGTGCATCATACTCATCATGGATGCAATCAGGGAGAGTGGAGAACAGTAGATTATACTGTAGCTGTCACAATCTTGGAAGAATGATGGATGAGACTGGTATGAAGACATTGCAGGGAGCAGCGAGGAAGGATCCATATGCTTCTTGGACTGGAGAGACTGAAATGACCACATAAGACCTTTCCAAGTGAATGACAGACCTGAGGCAACCAAAGAACATCCTCCTAGAGGTCATACTGACAAAAAGAACACACTGTCCAAGCTGGATGGGCTGAGAGGGCACAGATGAGGGTGGGATGTACCAGGATGCTTCAGGATGGAAGCTGGTAGGAACTCCTGGTAGATATATGTAGCCATGGTCCCTAGCAAAGGGGACAAGCAAAATGATTGATGCAGAGGCAGCCATATCAGAAGAATTTAGTGAAATGAGCATTTTTTGGAGGGAGTGCTGTAGAAATGTGTGGAGTGTGCAAATCCTTTCCAATTTTGGAAGGTAAGATCACATGGCTGAGCACTACAAGCAAGTGTGGGAATGGTCTTGGTATCTGCAGAAATGGCAGAGATATGTCGAAAACTGGAATGCCATACACAAGTGCTTAAGAATTTTAGCCAGCACTTAACTTGCTCCCTTTCCTTTTCTCTGGCACTGATGACTTGTTCTTGTGTGAGGGATGACTGCTGACATTCCTGGCTGTCCTTCTTTGCATGAGGGCTATGGTCTTCATCTCCGTTCATCAGCTGTATCCATGTCCACCTCACCAAACACCTTTGGTGTGTGACAACGCTTTGATGGGACTGGGGAAATCTTGGTCTTGATCATCCAGTAAATGAATTGCTTGTGCCCTTGTTGTCGACACTTTATCGATGGCAGATGTCATTGATGTGTTGATCAATGAAGTGAGGAAGTTGATCAAGCCTTGTAGGCCTACCATGATAGGGTTTGATATTGCAAGTGAAGCCAGAGGTGGAGGATTGCAAGAATGATGGGAATGGGAGCTTTTTGCTTAGTCCAAAGTGGCAGAGAGGTTGGCACATTTGTTGGAGGCAGGAGCAGTAGCAGAAATGTCACTTGCATTGGCATATGGGAGAATGGACATGGTAGTTGAAACCTTGTCATCACCAAGCATATCAGTGTGAGACCGCTTCCCACTAGATGGTGGAGCACTGGATGGAGGGATAGAAATGTCAGACAGGTTGATGGTAGATGGTGGATCATCAAAAAATGGGAAATGGTTGTCATCCAACCTGGGTGGGACTAGGGGAAGTGCTGGCACAGAATCAGTAGGCACTGAAGTGGATATGGGTTTGATGGGTGTGGGAGTGGAGGAGGGTGCAGGTTCAGAAGGCACTGAAGTGGAAGTGGTTAGTTGAACGGTTGGCACTCCACTGTCTCCATTGTCTAGGCTGTTGGTGGTGGCATTGGAAC